GAAGGGAGGTGAGGAGAAGAGATAAACCTTTCCCAGGCCCTACCCCCCATCAGCCCCCTCTTCCTACCAGACTCCACCCCCTAGCACAAGTCAGCTAGAAACTCATCAGGGGACTAATTCAGTGATGAGTATCAGCCCCCAAGATCCAGTCACCTCCCCAAAGCCTTGCCTATGAGTGCATGAGGGTTTGGGGGGACATCTGGATATAAACCATGACAGTAAGATTTGTGCCTCTTACTAGCAAAAATAAAATATAAACTCAAAGTAAACTGTGGACAGCTGTAGATGTATGTTATCATTGCTAGAATAACCACTAAAAGCATTTTTAGAAAGATATATAGTTAAAGAGTTGGTAGGTAAATTAAAGGGACATTAGAAAGCATGGGAGACATGCAGGGTGGCACACTCTGAGGCAGGAGGATTGCAAGTTTGCACTTAGCTTGGGAAACTTACAGAAACCTTATCTCAAAATAAAAAAATAACAAAGGCTTGTGCTGTAGCTCAGTGTGAAGGCCTTGTGTTCAATCTCCAGTACCTCAAAAAAATCAAATAATCCAGAAGAAGGCACAAAGGGAGAAGAAAAACAAAAGGAACTGAAAACAAATAATAAAACACAGACTTAAATCCAGTCCTAATAATTACATTAACTACAAGTGGTCTAACGGTACCAATAAAAGGATAAAGATTATTAATGAATTAAATAACTGGACTCAACTATATGTTGCTTCTAAGAAACATAAATTAAAACAAGATAAAATAAACAGGGTTGTATATTGCAAGAAACAAAAATATAGGTCAACATTCCTATGAATATAGATGCAAAATTCCTCAATAAAACACTAGTAGACCAAACCCAGGAGCCATATTAAAAGGATTTTGTATCACGATCATGTGAAATTGACCCCAGGAGTGCAGAGGTATTCAATACATGAAATAAATTAATATACTAATAGAAGGAAGAGGAGAAAAAACATATGATCACTTAAATTCCTGAATTGATGCACAAGGAACATTTAACAAATTTCAACACCATTTCATAAAATACTTCACAAACAAGAAATAGAAGGACATCTGCAACCCAATAAAAAGTATCTAAAAGAAATCTAAGGTGAGCATCACATTTAACAGTGAAAGAATAAAAGCATTCCTAGGATCCAGAATAAGGCAAACATGATTGTATCTGTTATTTTTATTTAACATTATACTAGAAATTCTTGTCCAGCTGATCAGACAAGGAAAAAACCCAAAACAAAACAAAAGGAGACAGAGAGAGAGAGGGAGGGAGGGAAGGAGAGAGGTGCCCTATTGGCTACTGCACAAGTTTGACAAAGTTGCCTGATACAAAATAAATGTACATAAATCAGTCATATATCTATATACCAGTAAGGAACAGTCTGAAGAGGAAATCAGAAAGACAGTTCCATTTACAATAGCACCAAAAAGAATAAAATACTCAAGAATGTATTTAACCAAGAAGGTACAAGCATTGTACACTAAAAACAACAAACTACTCATGAAAGAAATTAAAGACCAGAGAAATGCAAATTACTACAATGGTGAGATTCTTCTTAAGAAAGAATGCCTACCATCAAGAAATCAAATAACAAATACTGGTGAGGACCATACTCATAAGTGAAGCAAATACTGGTGAATTACTACAATGGTGAGATTCTTCTTAAGAAAGAATGCTTACCATCAAGAAATCAAATGACAAATACTGGTGAATACTGGGGAAAAAGGAACCCTTTTACACTGTTGGTGGGAATGTATAAGAGTACAACCACTGTGGAAATCAGTATGGAGAGTCTTTAAAAAACTAAAAGTAGAAATTCCATTTCACCCAGGTAGTACACTTCTAGGTATCTTCCTGAAAGAGTTAAAGGCATCATATTACAGTGATACATGCATACCCGTGTATACAGCAGTACAATTCATAATAGCTAAATCTTGGAAGCGAACTACTTCCAAGTAGTAGTGCAAATGTACTACTCTGCCATAAAGAAGAATAAACCTGAGTAATGTGTAGGAAAATAGATGCACCTTGAGATCATGTTAATGAAATAAATCAGACACACAAGCTCACAGGTGGCATGGTTTCTCTTAGATGAGAAACCAGGCCATAAATAGATCAAGGAGAAAAATAAAAGACAGATAACAGGACACAGGCAGATGGATGTTTTGCAAATTGGAAAAGGACCATGAGGTGAGGGATGTGGGGGAAGGAAGGGGATATAAAGAAATTATGATGTGTTGTGCATGTGCACCAGCTCCCCGCAATGGGTGTAATCATTATGTACCACAAACACGGGCTAACAAAAATAGAAGTTAGAAAAAAGGAAAGACGTAGAAATAGTCTGAGGAAAACAGAAATATCAGAAACAATGGGCTTCCCTGAACCTCGTCTTTTCAGAAGGATCAGCTTGGGCTTTGGAGTCAGAGCTCAGAGGCGCAGCACTTGTCTAATGTGCAGGAGCCCTGGGTTCCATGCCTAGCATGGCAAACAAAACAAAAGAACCCCCAAAACAAAAACAACAGGCAAGTGCTAGCCCAGATGCAGGACAACTGGCATGTGCCTACATCCTGATGGGAAAAAAATTCTGAAAACTGCTGGGTAATTTCTTAAAAAGTCAGATACCCCATGTCTATCACCATGAGCTAAACTAAAGTCAAAATGGATCAAAGATCTAAATATTAAAACAGAAACACTAAATCTACTGGAAAAGAAAATAGGTCCAAATCTTGACGACATAGGGGTAGGCAGAGACTTCATGAACAAAAAGCAAACTGGGAAATACTTCAAAGAATCAACAACTGGGATCTCATTAAAAAGTTTTTGCACATCAAAAGAAATCACCAACAAATTGAAAAAAAAATCCACAAATTGGGAAAAATTGTTATCCAACTGTCCATCAGACAAAGGACTTCTATCTGGACATATAAAAAATTTAAAAAATCAGACCCCCAAAATTCAGAGACCCTATACAAAGATGGGCATCTGAGATGAACACACACTTCTCAGATAAAGAAATGCAAATGGCAAATAAATATATGAAAAAATGTTCAACATCATTGGTCATCTGAGAAATGCAAATTAAAAGAACACTGAGATTCCATCTCATCCCAGAAAGAATAGCTATCATCAAGAAGTCAACCAATAACAAATGCTGGCAGGGCTGTAGGGAAAAAGGAACGCTTCTCCACTGTTGGTGGGAGTGTAGACTGGTACAATCACTTTAGAAATCAGTGTGGAGATTCCTCAAAAAGCTAGGAGTAGAAGTCCCATTCGACCCAGATGTTCCCCTTCTGGGTGTTTTCCCAGAAGAATTAAAAACATCACACCACAGCAATATATATGCACACATGTTTGTAGCAGCACAATTTGTAGTAGCTAAATCTTGGAAACAACCCAAATGCCCTTCAACTGAGGAATGGATAAAAGAGATGTGATATTTCCATACAACAGAGTACTACTCAGCTGTAAAGATAGATAAACTCAAGGCTTTTATCAGTAAGTGAGTGCAACTCAAGACCATACTCATAAGTGAAATAAACCAGACTCATGTGTAAACATCCTATTGTCTCCCTAGTATGTAAGAAACTGCAAAAGTAAATAATATCCAAAAGGTACAACAGATACTGTGAAATTGAAAGAAACTGCTTAAAAGGAAAGATCAACTGAAATGGGAGAAAGGAGAAAAGAAGGAATATGTATATATTCCACACACACACACACACACACACACACACACATACACATGGTAGTTAAGATAATTATACTACTAATTTCTGTTAGTTCATTGAAAGGAACAGTTAGTGTTTATAGTGTTTGATCAGTCTTACATGCCTATATCTGGTAATCTGAGCAACTACTGTGAAGATAACAAAAAATGCAATATAATAACCATCATCTTGTTTTGAAATTCTGTATCATTTTTGTTTTTTTATTCTCTTTAAAATAAAATTTAAAAAAGTGATACCAAAAAAAATCAAAGATACGTTAATACGTGACTTTGTAAACCTATTCCTAAGGAAATAAAAGCTTATGCTCACACAAAAACCTGTACACAGTGCGACAGGAGCATTATTCATAATTGTCACAAATAGAAACAACTCAGATGCTCTTCAGCAGGAGGCGGATAAAACATGCTCCCGCCCTGCCGTGGAGAGGAAGAAGCCACCAGTCAGCAGTGACGTGGATGATCCTAAATGTGGGAGGCTGAGTGGAGGGGAGACCAAGCCTCAAGAACACCACACTGCTTGACCTCATGCTGATGACATTCTAGAAAAGGTAAAACAACAGCGGCCAAGACCAGCCCGTGGTGCAGGGTTAGGGGTGGGGAAGTGGACCAGAAGTCGTGAAGGAGTTGTTCGGGTGGAAGGATCGTTCTGTGCCCTGATCTTCGTGTGTCTATGACTGTGCACTTTTCAATGTATACCTGTGGGGCTGGGGATTTAGCTCAGTGGCAAAAGTGCCTGCCTGGCAAGTGCAAAGTCGTGAGTTCGACTCCTGGTACCGGAAGGAAAATAAAAAAAAAAAAAAAGAATGTATACCCACTAAAGTTAATTTTATCATATGCAAGTCAAAAGTAAATTAAAAATATATGGATAGCACTACCATTCCTCCAATGTAGAAGTACAGACTAATAGTACTCCATGTAAATATACAATTCTTTTCAGTTTAGGACTTCATATTTAATCAAATTCTTTCATTTAAATTGTTTGCCACTGTTCGTCTTAGTTTTAAAAGATTACGATTAGGAAGCTCAGGTTGACAGGAAGATGGACACTTAATTAGACACACTGAGACAAAAATAAGACTGCCTTGTGACAGCCTCTCTGTTGTAACCTGATTTTCTTCTGCCAGTGACATGGCCCCAAGTGAGGCCGGGGTGACTTTCACCCACGTGTTTCCCAGCAGGCCCAAAGGGAGCAGGCAGGATGCAGACTCAGAGCTCTCCCTGCTTCCGGAGTGCCAGGCGATCAGCCCGGCTGAGACTCACCACGCCGATGCTTTCGAAAGAAAAGATGGCTGTTCCGAAGAAGAGCGGGTAGGTCTTCCAGCTCGCCACCAGTGGCAGCCGGCTGGGGTCTGGAATTCCCTGAAGGAGAGAGAAATGCCGTGCCAGCGCCACTCTGAAAGTGCGTGGGAGCTCCTTTGGGAGAGACGTAGCCCAGGAGGAGAACTGAATTCTTTTGAATTGAGTGTCAGGATGTTTAGAAAACTTCAAAAGCAAGTAGGCAACCATCACCATGGATTTTAACAGGGCACCGTCAAATCCTGAAGGCGAGCATCTCAGAGAGGGCGGGAGTTCTGTCCCTCAGAAGCCTCCAGAGGAATCTCACACATCACTGCTGGAGCTGGCCTACAGCGCTACAGCAACTTTAAAAGGCCTGTGGCCACTGGTCTTGGGTATCGCTGCCACTGTAGCTGTAGACTACACCAGGAACCCCAAAGTAACAGTGAAATGTGAAAATCCCCTTTTCTTTTTCCGTGGGCAGTAAGCTGAAGGGGAGGCATGTTTTCAGAGTAAATACGCTATGTGCCCGCTGACCCAGGATGTGAAATATCACAGAAACATTTTTCTCATTGAATAATCTCTGGAACTGTCCAAACATAAATCAGAAGTAGCTATCTCATTTGGAAATTCAGTTTTGTAGAATCCATCATTAACTCTTAAGGAGTATAACACTGACCTGTAGTTTTTCTAAAATGTTTGTGTCATTTATTATTTTTACTAAGTTCCCTGGACAGTGTAACTTTTATTCTCTCTTGTGGTCTCTGAAGATTACGGGATATAGCAAGGATTTTCTGGGGCTTACATGCCTAGGTAGTATTGTCTACTACCAAAGAAAAATTAGAAAAGATAGGGGGAAAATTGAGGGAAAATTTAATATCCATAACCCAAAGATATGGTCATTAACATTGTAATAGATTTGTTTATGGTCTTTGAGAATCTGTTTACACTTCTGTCACTAACTATTAGGTCTTTTTATTTTTCCTACAGTGTTCCTTAGGGGTAATTTTGGGTGCAGGGAACTGTAGCCCAGAGGATATGAGACTATGGTACAAGAAGCTACTTCTCTCCTGTCTTTTACTGCTGGCCGGTCAGCGCAGGAATGGTCTGTAGTTTACTCAGCAAGGTGTTTTCCTTACAAAGCAAGTGCAATATTTTTGAAAGCCAGAACTTAACATAAAAACAAGTATTTGGCGGAGTAGCATGGATGAGTCCATACCTGGCTAGGTGAACAGCACAGACACTCCCGGGGAAGTGATTTTACAATGAGGTGCGTACTAGGCTGAAGAGTGAGCAACACACTCACCCCTCCGTGGGCGGCCCCAGATACCTAGACACTGGTCCATTCCTACGCAAACGCCTCCAGTGGTGTCCGCTGTGTGGCGTGCACTGACCTGGGCGATGTACTGGGTGATGATGACCAGGCTGACCAGCATGCTGATGTTGGCCAGCAGGGAGAAGATGGTCAGGACGCGGAGGTTTCGGAGGAGGACCAGCAGCCACAGGAAGGGCAGGAAGGCGAGCATGTAGAGACGCGAGTCCATCGTGGGCGTCAAGGTCACCGTCTCGTTGCTGCGGCAGTTGTTGGTTGTGCCATTGACAGCTTCTATTACCTGCAGAAGGGACGGGAAAAGCAAGAGAGAAAATAGATCTGGCTGCGTGGTGAGCTCAGCGCGCTGCTCGTAATCAGACTTCCTTGACAAGAGTCAGGCTGAATTTAGAACTTTTTGTTTTAAACCCTGTGCAGTATATTTCTTCAAAGGAGGCTACCGAAATACATCTAGTAACAATTTATTTAATGACTAGGCTTATGGCAGGGGTTTGTTGGCCTTTGGCACTGATTTATGTGCCACCCGAGTGCAGCTTTGGAGGGCCATAAATCACAGCCGATGGCAGAGCCTTTGGCTAAAGCTGGTGTTTTACAATCTCTGCCAGGAGTCTGAATGGAAATCTCAAGTCAAGCCACAGAAGGACAGAAATAGAAAGGGTAAAAATTAACTGGAAGAGTGGACCCCTTGGGAGGGTACTTGATAGTGGTTCTGTCCAGTTGCTGTGTTGTTTCCTGAGTACTACCTTCTAATTCTCTGTCATTTTATGAGTTACTAAATCCTTCCTCTAGGCACATTTTCTGACTGCATTCCCCAGAATCTGTTTCTTCGGCTTTTTCACTAAAAGACCCACCCTTTACTGTTTCTTAGCTGACTCTAATTACTATCTCCTTTTCTGACTGATTGATTCATTGATTGATTGATCGCACTGCATTGTGGGAACTGAACTTCAGCCATTGTTCTACCACTGAGCCTCATCCCAAACCTTTAGTGTCTTTTAATTGGACCAATACTAGATTTTTTTTGCTTTGTTTTGTTTTTGAGACAGGGTCTCTCTATGTATTTCAGGCTGGCCTTGAACTCACTATGTAGCCCAGGCTGGCCTTGAACTGGTGGCAATCCTCTTGCCTCAGCCTCCCAAGTATGGGGATTACAGGCGTGTACCACCACACCAGGCTCAATACTAGAATTTTAGATGAGAGAACTCTTCCTTGTATGAATTGGGCCATCCACTACAGAACATTTAACACCCCTGAATGCACCCACCGAGACTGTTCACATCCTGCACTCACAGTAATGAGAAAGAATCAAGAGCACCCTGCCCTAAATGCACAGCATGTAGACCTCTCTGGCAGAGTCACTGATGAGTGAATGTAGGTTTAGAATGCCCATGACCTAACGGGTACAAGCAATACAATTGTGCATGCAATGGAACAATTAGAAACCAGAGTTAAGCAATAAGGAAATATTAAAGCATTGTTAATTTCTGTGCACATGGGCAGTCATGGTGACACCTTGCAATCCATTCATCTATGTATTTTGTGTACAAGGTCACAAGTTATACATATGGCACACACTCTATCTTATAAAATAGCAATCATAGCACCAACTTGTTTTGAAATCCCCTTTCCACTTAATATGCACCATGGAGACGTAAATATGAATCAGTAAGTCTTGAGTCCTTGTAATACCTTACGATGGTAGGAAGAACACCTGGGCGATTAGTGGGCATTCCAGGGTCTCTGTACACGGCCCTACCCAGGCTCAAGGTGCTTGCTTTCTCTTAGCGGGCTCTTTCTTCTGTAAGCAATTGTGGCTTCCCTTGCACAAGCCCCATATGTCCCCCGGTCTAGGTTTTTGCCTATTCCTTCTCCCGCTCTGGTGGCCACCACTTTCCCTCCCAGCTGCCCATCCATGCCCAGTGTAGACGGGCACCCGGGAGGGAGACACCAGCGCACTCTGCAGGTGCGCACGAGGCAGCGAGGCAGCTCCTGGACCCAGGGTGCTGCCAACGGCAGGCTGATCTGGCACCAAAATATCACAGTGATGTTTTGATTTTATGTTTTAGAACGTATCCCACTTAGTCCATAAACTCCTCAAAACAATGCTTGCTTTGGTAAAAAACATAGCTGGTAAATAAACCAATAGCCAATAATAGGCATAGAGGATCACAAAGGTCCACGGATGTTGGGTTATTTTCTGAAGAGCAGGCTGGCAGCATGCTTTAAGAGCCTTCGAAACAATCAAAATCTGACTCAGTAATTTCACAGCTTAATATCAGGCATAGCTCAGAAATCGAGCCCTTGCCTAGTATGTATAAGGCCCTAGGTTCTGTCCCCAAGACAAATAAACAAAAACAACAAAGAACAGCACACAACAACAACAAAGAAGGAAATAAAGGGCTGCACAAAGACTTGTGAAAGACTCGTGTGTCCCACAGCAGATTATAGTGGTAGAAAAACAAAAGTAAATAAATAAACTCTCTAGCCGTAGATGAGCGATTGTGTTATGGTCCACCTATGTGATGGAGACCCTGTGTTATGAAAGTATTAAAATATCATTTAAGAATGTAAGGGCATTGCCGCATGGTAACCAGTCGTGTGGTCAGCTTTCTGGTGTGACGATGGAGTACATGAGATAATTAGCTTTTCAAGGAGAGAGACTTGTTTTGCCTTACAGTTCTAGTGGGCCCAGTCCGTGTCAGTGGGCCCATGGCTTGGGCTGTGGTGAGGCAGTGTCCCCGTGGGAGCTCACGGGCTGGTGGAACACACAGCCCATCCCATCAGGCCAATTCTGTGGCCTTACTGTTCTTCCTTCTTCTTCTTCTTTTTTTTTTTTAATTGGTCAAGACAGGGTCTCACTATGCAGTTCAAACTGGTCTTGAGCTCACTTTGTAGCCCAGACTGGTCTTGAACTAGTAACGATCCTCTGCCTCCCGAGTGCTGGGATTACAGGCATGCGCCATCATGCCCAGCTTCTGTTCTTCCTAAATTTCTGGTGTTACTGTCAAAAGCAGAAAAAGAGCTCTAAAAAGTAGTTTTTCTTGTGTAAGCTGTTGATGAAGGACGGCTGCTGCTAGTGCCTGTATTCTTCTGTTCTAATTGCGGCAAGATAACGTCTAGCTTAGGTCAGAAGGACTCCTGAGAATGGCCACCACTAAGCCATGGGCTAAGTTGCTAAAGGCAGAAAAAGTCCCCAAAGATTAGGCATCATGCACACACGCACCCCAGGCCCGTATCAGCTTTAGAGCCCTTATTACAGTGGAGTTCCAAAAGAAAAGAGGACTGACAAGTCCCAAGGGTCCTTCCCAGGATTTTAGAGTCAACCTTGAGGACAAACCCAAGGTCCTGGGCAAAGGGTACTGTGGCAAAATTAATCGCGTGCACAAATGTGCAGCTGCCTCTGCTGAGGGTGGCTGGGTGCTCTGGTAAAGTGTCTCAAACTTCCTTCACTGTGTTGAGGAGAAACCAAGGGCTGCACAAATGTGTTACCCAGCAGCAAAGAAATGTGTTACCCAGCAGCAGAGCCCACCTTCCATGCTGCCCCCTCCGGTCTTGTCCGGAAGAGCCTACCTGTTTCAAATTATCAGCCAGAAACACTATGTACACGCAGCAGAAACCCAGCTGGGTGATGATGAGGAAGAAGCTCACCACGTGCCTGGAAGAGAGCAGGGGAGAAAAACCCGTGGTGAGAAAAGCTGGCTTTTCAGTTCCATTCCTTGCCATCCTGCCCTCTGTCCCCAGAACTTGGCGGCCCTGTACTGCCGCCCTCGGGCTTCCCACCACAACCAACAAAGGCGGGTAAGAAGTGAAGCAACAGTAGTTCTTTGTAAACAGCGGTTTTCCAACTCCCTCACAGGCGGAGTGCAGTGAATGGTCAAATTCTTCTAGCCCAGGGGTCGCCCCCAATCTGGTCTGCTGCGGGCATCCCTCTCCCCGGGGTCACTGCTGGCCCAGGGCGGGAAACCCGAGGCTTTCTCAGCTATCCTTAGCATTGAAAATACTTTTCCTACCAAGTGTCTTCAGGCGGTGAGGACACACAGAGAAATGACGTGTGGCCCTCCCCTGGGGCTTCACAGCCTAGTGGGTGAGAGAGCCTGTGATACTATGTAAGCAATGTGATATTAGCACTGTGATATTGTAAGGGCTGCAGCAAAAAGGACATTTTATTCAAATTATAGGCAGACAGAGAGCCTTCTTGGACAGACCAGTGCCTGAGTGAGTCCCTAGGGAAAAAAATGAGAGAGAGGGGAGAGAGAGACACAGACACAGAGAAACAGGGACAGAGAGAGAGAGGAAAGAGAGAGAGACAGAGAGAAACAGAGAGACAGAGACACAGAGATAGAGAGAAAGGAATAGAGACAGAGATAGAAAGACAGGGAGACATAGAGACAGATAGAGACAGACAGACAGAGACATAGAGGATAGGAAGAAGAAGGAAGAAGAAGGAAGGGGAGAAAGAAAGCATCTCAGCAGAGGGAGCGAACAGATGTCTGGAGCTGAGGAGCATGGAGTTCATTGGAGGAGTGAGAGATGCGACAGGACGGGGCTGGGGATTTAGCTCAGCCGCACAGCGCCGGCCTGGCAAGAGCGAGGTCATGAGTTTGATTCCCGGTACCGGAAAAAAACCAAAAAAAAAAAAAAAGAGAGAGAGAGGCGACAGGAGATTCTTTCAATAACAGAGGTGAAGAAGCCGGGACAGAGATGTCTGTTAGGACCAGCAAAACATTGGAAAAGACCCTGGGACACCCATTCACAGTCTGGTGAGCTCTACTTCAGGGCTCAGACGGAGAGCGAATGCCAAGGGATTTACAGGCCTTTGACCCAGATAAGAGCAGGAGTGTGGGAGACCCAGAAGGAAGAGTCCTTTTTAAGGGACAGGGAAGACAATGCAGCCGGTGGCTGAGCTCCTGAGCTGGCCTGGACTCAGGAGATACTTGGGAGACAGGTCTGTGTGAGGGCCTGGCCGTGGTGAAGGGCGGGCCTTCACAGCGGCTCGTCCTCCTCCCTGGACGGCCCACCAGGCCCTGCCTGGGTCCGAGTAATTCCTCATCCTGCGGGGTTTCTTCCTCAGAACGCCTGCTAGCTCTCCCCTCCTAGGGAGCCCCCCAGCCACGTGCACCCCCCCATCAGTTGGTAATAACTGCTCCTCCTCTCCTTTATCGCATTTATTCTGGCGGTTATTACGGGCTCTGTGACCACCAGTCCTGGTTGTTGGCCTGCTTCCCCACGGTATTCCCAGGAACAGCTGGACAAAGGTGGAGTAATACATGGGAGTAACACTGAAGCTGGGTAATGAAGGAGTGCGTGCACTCTCGCTGGAGGTAGTCCAGGAAAGGGGGTGACCAGCGACCCGCTCTCTGTGGAATGTCTGACATCCTGTGCCACACGGGCTTGGGGGGCTTTTCCAGGGGGAGCAGCAGCGTTTCCTCCTGCTATGTCCCACCCCTCTGGGGACAGAGCACAAGACCCAAACCGGATACCTGCCCCAGCGGGCATGGTTCTGCAGCCAGGTGCTGGGGCTGGCTTCCAGTGCGTGCATCACCGTCTCCCCGTAATCCATGAAGGGCTTGTTCAGCCTGCAGGAGAGAGCGCATGCGCAACTGCAGGTCACACACTCAAACGTCGGGGACCAGAGCAAGGCAGACACAGCGGAGGGTGCCGAGCACACGGGTGCAGGCTGAGAGCTGACAGCGCTTGGACCCCTGGCAATCACTCCGTGGTGCCGTGTTCTCCTTACCTGTCAAAAGAGGCAGTTACTACACCGCAAGAGCAACAGTAAACACTCCCGAGGGCACAGAAACCCCTGAGCCCTCAGGACAGTTCTCAGAGGCAGGGTTAGGCAAGGATCATTTGTATCCCATTCACAGGGGAGCCAGGCACGTAACAGAGACCTGCCTGAGACGAGCACTTTGGCTTTGAATGCTTTTCTCCTTTCCTTGGCCTTACTGGAGAAAATTAAGAAGTAAACTCTTTTTGTATTGGGGACCGGACTTAGGGACTTCGCTCTGAGTTGTACCTCCACCCCCTTTTTCTTTTGAGCCAGGTCTCCTTAAATCTCTAGGTTGCCCAGGCTGGGTTCAAACCTGCTATCCTCCCACCTCAGCCCTGCAGAGTATGTTCCCCACGTGTAGGGTATGTCGGGGATGACCCGGGTACCCATGGAGTTGGCCCAGGGCACTGCCCTCCTACCTGCGGCAGAAGCGCTGGGCACACCTGACCAGGATGTGCATGCAGTGGCAGGCGACGAAGCCCATCGCCAGCAGACTGAGCGGCCCCATCTGCAGGCCCGGAGGTGGGGTGGGCCAGAGAGAAGAGAACGGATTTATGAAGAGCAGTGATTCGCTCATACAGGGACCACTGGAGACAGAACACTTCCCAACAAACCGCTTCCAAGGCATTTTTAGCAGTAACAGCTATTCTTTCAAACATAATCTCAGGTGGGATTCCAACAGAGTGCAGAAAGCAGCTCCAGGGGCGTTGCGGGAGTAGGGGACCCAGGTCCTGACCACGTATCCCTTGGTGACCCCTGTTGGGCTCCCCAAAGAGACCCAGGCTCTATAGAGCATGATTGGAGCATGATATAGCTCAACCCTTGCACTTTACAGAGGAGGTAACTGAAGCCGGAGAGCGGCCTGGTGATCCGCCAAGCCCACGAGAGCCTGTGGTGGGGCAAGAACTCAGACCCAGGCAGGGAGTCTGAGGCCAGGTCTGGACCACGTTGCCGCCCAGAAAGAGGGGCCCCGCAGGCTGTCCTCCGTGGTGAGAGCCCTCCTCCGTCCTGCCCTGAGGCTGTCTGAGGGGCGCCACCTGCAGCCGTCCCTCTTACCAGGATGCCTGCGTTCTTCACGGCCAGCGGTAGGCCCAGGATGCCCGTGCCCATGTTGCCCTTCACCAGGTGGACCAAGGTCTGGAACCCTCTAAAGGAGAGGGGCTGGCGTGAGGACACGGCGTGGGTGATGGGGGGATTCAGCAGTCAGCAGCGTTCCGGCCCCGGTTAAGCTGGGGAGTGACTCCTGGTGGTCTCTCCATCCCCGAATCCCTAGGTGGCCCATCTGGGTCTCCTGTAGGGGACCGAGCACCCCACTTTGCCCAGAATCGCTCCAGTTTCAGCTGCTAACATGCCCTTGCAGTGCTTACTAGATGAGACACTCTGCTATGCACTTTACACATATTATTTAACCTTCTTGTCAAGACTATGAGGTCTCGGCTGGTGGGGAAACGGAGGCATGGAGGTTTTTTTTTTAAAAAAGATGATTTGTCCAAGGATATAACTGGGAGCCACGGTTTGAACCCAGGGCTTCCTCAGGTCCTGGTGGCACGCTCACTCCTTCTGAGCTGCCTCCCGAGACCCAGACAGAGAGTAAAGGGATGGCCTTGTTTCATCACGGAGGAAACCGCAGCTCAGTGTGGAAGCAGCTGCTAGACCAAGGTCATAAACCAGCGGTAGAAACAGGGAAAAGGGAAAGGAGCAGGCTGGAACCAGAAGCTGCTGTGACTTCTGGATAAACAGGCCAGATGACCCAGGTCACTAGGGGATTGGGCTCCGGGAGGTTTTTCTCCTCTCAGTCCAGAGCGCCAAGGCTGGAGACTGGCAGGTCCCCAAGCCCCCCACAAAAACAGAAACGCCCACTCTTGAAGACCACGGTGAAGGTTGATCCAGAGGACAAGGTCTCTAAAGCATCGGGGGAAAACGCGCTCTCTGCCAGTGGATTATAAACCAAGCTTGCGTCTATGCCTCCTCGTATCTGAGCGCTGGGTTTATACCTTCAACCGCAGAGAACTTGGGAATCACCAAGAAGCGCCTTCCCGCTAGGAGACAGTCGGAAAAGCAGCAGAGGGGTTCTGGAAGGAGCCTCTTCTTTGGAATTGGACTAACCAGGGGTTAAGACAGAGCCACTACGTCACTAGCTGCTCATCTTGGTTGATGAGCTCAACTTTGAACCTCTGCAAATGTTAGGAGTAATGATATTGGAAAGAACCGCCCCAAACATCTGTCTCTGTGTCAAGCCCTCCGGCTCTCCAGCTCCCCGAGGCCCCGCCCATGGGCTGGCTGAGGGTTAAGGAGAGCGGTGGGGGGGATGGGGCGTCTCCGCGTGCCTCTCCCCTTGTGGGTGTCCACACTGCTGACCGGGCACTGCACCCTGCGCTCCCCAGCCATGGCTTGTTTTGCAACTGGGAAAAGACGAATGGGTCACTTAGGAACTTTCTAACTAAAGGATTTAGGAAATCAGCCGTTAGCTTCCAGCCGTCCAGCCAACTTACAGAGTCAAGCCAGGGTCCAGACTGGGAGCTGGGAGACCCAGGTTCTAGCTCTAGCTCCTTCGGTGACCACGGATTGTCATCACTGTGTTCAAAGAAGCTGATGTGGACAGGCGCTGCGCTTGGGGCGTCGTGTTGCCGGCACCTGAGTGGCCACTCTGGGAGGCCTGACTATCACTTCACAGCCACGAGGAGTTCTGCCCCTTAACCCAGGGGTGACCCCATAGGTGTCACACCCACCCAGCCCCCAAGCGACAAGGTCCCCTCTGGCTCTCACTTGTGACTGCTTTGATCCTTAAGAGGCTGAAATTGCCCTTAAAACTATGTGTCTGTTTAGGGTACCAGAGCTGGTTGGTTCCCCTGCGGCCTCTGATTGAGAAATAGCCCCACTATGCAGAAGAGGCCCCGGCCGACAGACAGCCCTCGGTCACTAACACTTAGCACCCCGCAAGTGCCCTCACTGTGTCTCCCCTGCAGGGAGTGGCCCTGCAGGGTGGCTGTGGAGAGGGCTGCCCCTCCCGGCCGCACAGCATCCCGCATCTGTATGTAGTGTCCGTGAGTGTCGGCCTTCAACTCGTCAGAAACTCCCAGCAGAGAGGAGCAAGAGCGCCACTTGAACTTGGACCTTCTGGAGCCGGATCCAGCGCTCTTGCCGCTACAGCGGTGGTGTCCAGACTGTCTTAAAGCGGCAGAGCCTCTCCGCCTTCACGCCCAGCACCGCTTTGCCTCAGCTGAACTCGCTGGACTGGTTTGCCAGCGGGTCAGGCGCAGGGAAGGGGAGCTGGACCCCTGTTTCCAGGCCTCCTCCTGTGTCAGGTTTGGAGAGGCTCACAAATATTCTCCCAGGAACCCTACCCTGGAAGTGGGGGAAACCAGAGCCACCCACACACTGCTTTTCAATGTTGCACTGCAGTTCTCAGCGGAAGGAGAGACCTTGCTGCTGGAGGACGCAGTGCTTGGCTGTCAGGAGGTGACTTCCCGGCCTCCTCCATGAAGCCGGGGATGCTGCTCCCTCCTGCACGTTAACGCGAGTGGCCAGGAACAAAACACTGGCGTGAGAGCCAGCCCCGGACTCCAGCTCCCGTCCTCAGGCCTCAGGGCGCAGGGGCCTTGGTTGCCCCACGTATCTCCCTAAAGGCTTCTCTGTTTCCTCTCCTGCCCCTCTGTCCTGTCACCTGACACCACCTCGGATCGCACCTCTGGCTCCTGGTTTCCCCACTGCACATGGGCTGAGGAGCAGACACAGCCTCCTCCACAGTCTGGCCAGCGTGCAAACATCTGCACTCTGCCGCGGGAAGGCAGAGAACAGCACTCACGTTATGCCCTTGGCCTTCTCCAGACCCGAGGACCCAGAAGAGCTTCCATCCAAGAGACTGGAATCCTTGTTCTGCAACTTCTTGGTACTTTGGGGAGATGGCACAAGGTCCAGGGTGAAGGTGGCAGCTTCCTGGTGGCTCGCAGCATTCTTTGTCCCAGGCATGACTGCTGCAGAGAGGGAGCTCTCAGGACAGCACGGAGGCCGGGCTGGAAGCGGGCAGTGGGAAGGTGGCCGGAGCAGGTGCAAGCCCAGCTGTGTGGCTTCTGCCGAGCGTGCCCTGGGAGGCTGGAATAAGGCCCCTCCCTCCTCTCTGAGGGCCCAGCCTCCTCCTCCAGCCCAGAGAAGCCAGTGGAGGAGGAGGGGCCAGGGCAGAGGAGGCCGGGTCAGAGGGTTTGGGAAGGGGTCAGGAGCCGTCCTGGTATCACCCAGTGACAGGAGTGGCAACAGCACCCACAATCTGGCATAGGCATTCCTCCGCTTGCTTCATCTGCATTTTCTCGTTAATCCTGTAGTTAAACAACTGCAACTCTGTAGTAAAGGCATCTGGCTGAAGTCACAGGCTGGCAAGTGACAGAGTTGGGACCAGAGCCACCTTGTCCGGGTTCTTAACTGATATCCTATCTCTGTCTCCAGGAACATAGCTGCAGATCCCCTCTCTGTGCATCTCAGGGTCCGGGCCCGCTCTCAGGGGCTCCACAGTTTGCATCCCTCCCGGGAGCTTCCCTTCCTCAAGCTGGAAGGAGGAGGAGAGGTCTCCAACTCCTAACCGTGCTCCGCTGTGCGAGGCGCCATGGCGGGGAGAAGGGGATCCAGGACGGGGAAGCAGGCAGGGATTGTGCAACCCCCAGTGGCATTTTACTGGGCAGGACGTGGCTGCAGGACAGGGTGTAACTTACGGAGAGCTACTTACGACTTGAGGACAGACCTCGGCAGCTAAAGATGGTGTTTAGAGTCCCTCTGAGTTCCCCTTCTCTGTCATTATCTCAGCTACTGCAGATCAGCGAACCAAAATGTCCTCTTCCCACGAAATTATAGCATTTTACTCCCACTGTGCAACTCTGTCTCCATTGTCTCCTTCCCAGCGCTAACACTGGTGGAAGGCTTCCTATGCACCAGAGGCTTTCCTGAAATAATCTCGCTGGTAAATGGCAGGTCCGGGCCAGAGTTCTCAGGGCCCTCCCTGACTGCCACGGGTTCCATAGAAGGTCCCCCATGTGCAATTTTGAATTTGTGGTTTTGCTGTTATTTCCTAAGGGATACTCTTTCTTTTCCTAATTGCCCCTCCTGACATGCCCAGTAGTATAAGATCCAGGCCTCAGGGCGCAGCCTGGGGTAATGGGGCCTTGGTTGCCCCACGTACCTCCCTAAAGGCTTCTCTGTTTCCTCTCCTGCCCCTCTGTCCTGTCACCTGACACCACCTCCGATTGGTGGTGTCAAACCCAGCTACTTTTCTGGGTAGCTTCGTTGCTTCATTTTTGCAGATGTGGAAACTGAGGGGTGAAAAGTAGCTGGCTAGAGGTCACAGTCAGTACTTGCCGGACTCCAGATTCCAGCCCATTTTGGTTTAAACGCTGGCCCCACCTTCCAGTTCCTGCCCTGAATCAAAAGAAGCACTCGGTGTGGTTTGTGAAATATCCTCTATTTGCTTGTCTGGCACTATTCCGTGGGGCTATTCCTGGTTTTCCAGTAGCGGGCTGTGCTCGGTAACCTGCAATTGAGATTCCACGGCTTGATTCTAAACTTAGATCCCGTCTCACTGATAGAAGTCGTTCCAGCTCAAGCAATATGATCAGTAGAATGGACTCAAGATGTTCGCTGATGAGACAGTTTGTGCTTTCCTCTCCAGGTCAAGAAGTACGTTGAGTTCATCCTCACTTCCTTTGGAAAGAGGCTGCTGGAGCCCCTCGGAAGAGTGTTTGGCGGGGACTCTTCCCAGCCATCATCAGCAAAAAGCGCATTTGTTGGGGCAGGGGTAGGGCTGTAGACCCTCAACTTGTAGCCACCGCTCAGCATGCGAGAGGGTTTCCCCATGGCGGTGGCCTCCAAAACTGCCCTCCCAACTCTGGCCCAGCCCTCCAGAGCGGCGGGCTCCACCGTGGCTCCACACAAAGCCACTGCGATGCTGGGAGGAACCCGGTCCCTCTTCAAGACGCATTTCCCCTTGCGATGTAGGCATTAGCCGGTCGATGACTTCCGAGGGCCTGAGGACGGGGCGGCCGGGACTTGGATGGGGTCCTGTGCAGCGCTGGGGCGCAGGCTCGGCTCGCCTTGGGTGGGGTTGTGCAATGGGGCGAGCACAGCGCGCACACTTGGCCGTTCTGAGGAAGGTGGGGCTCGAGCTCCAGGCCCCTCAGAGCGCCTCTGAGGCTGCCGCTCAGGTGTCTCTGTTTCTGTCCTGTGCGCCGCGCACACTGCGAGCTGAAATGATTAGAACCCTTCCACGGGCGCTATGTGTGTGGTTGGGGACTTCGGTATTGCACGCACCAAGCAGTTTCCAAAGAACTTTTAGGGACTGGCTCCGATGGCCAAATTCCCATTTCTCTCTCCAGAGCATCGCTATGATTTTCTCAAAGGCAGAACATTCCGATCCCCTCAAGTGGGAAGACATAACCTCAGGGTAGAGGCAGCATCTCCCTATTACCCTTCCTCACCCGTCCGGGGGGTCACCACGGCCCTCCCGCAGGGCTCCCCGGTGGGGAAGTGGGGACAAGTGGGTCTGTAGGCAGGTGTGAGGGTGAAATGACAGAAGGAAAACGTAGGGCTCCAAGTCACAGTCAGCGTCCCCAGAGAGGGCAGCCGCTTTTCGCAGATCATTTTACTTCAGAGGTCACCAGATGGACTTGCATTGTGTTGCTGATTGGGCAGCTGAGGCCCAGAGAGAGGAAGGGACACAGTGAGTGGACGGGGACTTGAGGGTGGGATTGGTGCGGGGACCCACGTCTCTTGAGTTCCAAACCCCACTGCTCTCACAGCTTCTCAGAAGCTCTGAACTGCATGATGACCGGGAAGATTCACTCAATCATTTGATCAGTCCCCACCGCAGTCCTGCCCAGCAGGAGTGGGGCGGTGAGGCACAAATCGTGCACCTGTGACTCAGCCTGCCACAGCTGCAGGAACAATACCATCAGCTGGTGTTTTAAGCAACAGACATTTACTTTCTCACAGTTCTGGAGGCTGGAAGTCCTGGGTCGAGGTCTGCAGGCTTGGTTCTGGGGAGGACCCCCTTCCGGCCTCCTCCTGCGTCCTCATGCACATGACGGGGTGGGGCCTTTCTCACAAAGTCTCTCTTCTCCTAAGGACACTAAGTCTGTTAGATCAGGGCCTCATCCTCCTTGCCTCAGATGACTTTAATTGCTTCCATAGAGGCCTCACTTATAAATACAAGCACCTTGGGATTAGGGCTTCAGCATATGAATTTTGGTCACACTAAAATATTCAATCCACAACAGTCTATGAGCCGGATCTCAGTCCAGTGGGGGAAGCCGTGAAGGTTTAGTAGAGGATGCAGTGTCACGGTTTATTTTTTTTTATTTTTAAATTTTTTGTCTTTTCTTCCGATACCAGGAATTGAACTCACGGCCTTGCACTTGCCAGGCAAGCGCTTTGCTGCTGAGCTAAATCCCCAGCCCCAGTGTCACGGTTTAAATGGGACTCATTCCCCTGAAGACTCCCGTGTTGAAGACTTGATTCTCCACACAGTGATGTTCAGAGATGGAGCCTGGAGAGGCAAGTGGCTCATGAGGGCCCTAACTTCATCAGAGGATCAACCTATTGATATTAATAACCAAATAGGCTACTAGGATTGGGGGTCAAGCTTGAGGAGCTAGGTTGTGGGGGTCAAGCCTTCAAAGAGCACGTCTCTTTCTCTTTTTTCCTGACTGCCCCTGCTCTCTGCGTTCCTCCATTGTGCCCTCCACCATGATGTTTCTGCCTCTGGGCCACGGACTGAACCCTCTGCGTCCAAACAACCCTCTGCTCTTTTAAGCTGTGGAGTCACGTCTTTGGTCCCATCAGTGGCAAGGTGACTAATACCGCAGTCTAATGGGGAAAGGGAACAAAAAGACAAGAAACAAGTAGTGACAAACTGAAGTTTCAGCCTTAAAGGGAGTGGACTTGACACAGTTATGGAGGGCAACAGGGAGGAGGCCGCGTCTGAGCCAGGACCGAAAGGGGAGGCAGTTGTGGAAGGTGAGGGTTACGTATTGTGGGTGAAGTGTGGGCAGCGTGTTCCAGGCAGAGCGGGTGTCAGGGAGAGGGCTTGGGGTGGGAGAGGCCAAGGGTTCCAGGAGCCAAAAGGGGCCAGGGTGTATTAGCAGCCCTTGTCATGGCCCCAGTTATTGGGGACCCCTGCAGTGAGCCCCTAGTCCCCTGACAGGTATTACAGCAGGTGGGAAGAACAAGCAAGAGACAAAATGGAGGTGCAGCAGGGGCCTGGGATGACCAGTTGTTCTCAAGGAACCCAGACTCCTGGTACCGATTGATCACATCTGAGTCAGGGACAGTGGGTGCAGGGCAGTGGGCGTTTCTGGGAACAGTAAAGGCGGCTGCGGCGGGCTAGGAAGATCAAACCATTCCTGCAAGGACAAGGACAAGGATGAGAGGGGAGCAATCAGGAAACTGCAGCTTGGTGCCTTGTCCTCTGTAGCGGATCCCATCTTGCCCCATGAGGCCATGGCAGTCCCTAGCCCTAGGGCTTCCAGCTGTGACCAGAAAAGAGCAAGGAGTGTCTGCATTCCAATCTGGCCCAAAGGGGCGGGACAAGGACAAGCTTGGGCGTCCCCTCGACTCAATTTAAAATCCATAGTCCCCAACAAGGGTGGCTGAGTCCTGCGAGTGTGGAGAGGAGTCTCAGATAAGGGCAGCGGCGGGCCGGACTGTGCGGGTTGGGACAGTGTCTGCGTGGCTTTTTGTTGTGTGCTTGGCCGTCACTGAAGGGTTGGGAAGCGTCTGTGAGGAGAATGGGTGACAGAGCAGTGAGAGGAGCCGGGAGATCAATGAGGAGGTGGTGGTTGAGCAAAGGAGGGATGTTGGGGGCCTGGGCTACTAGGCTACCCAGGAGACGGAGGTGTGTGTGTGTGTGTGTGTGTGTGAGAGAGAGAGAGAGAGAGAGAGAGAGGAGGAAGAGGAGGAGGAAGAGGAGGAAGAGGAGGAGAGACACACACCTAAGAAGTCTGTTCAGTGACATAGCATTTTTCATGTGAATAAATTAAATCTAACCTCCAAAAGTCCATCTGACCGGCCGCGGCCTTTGTAGAATGAGATCTACCCCTCAGGTCCCCTGAGTGCCTGCTCACATGTCCATGTGTGGGCGTGGACGCTGCCCGTTCTGGGTTTCTGAGCTCGCTGATGAGGGTGGGCACAGAAGGGCAGTGACCACGGCCTCCCCAGAGGCTCCTTCCTTCTCTGGGTGGGTGGGGACGGGGACCAGGTGGCTCCTCATAGGGGCTGAGGAGTGAGCTCCACTCATGTGACCCAAATGGTTTCACGCAGCGGTTTGTTTCCGGCGAATGCTAACAATGACAGTCATCACCCTCATCACCGTGCCAAGATGAGAGCTACCACTCACCAGGCATTTTCTGTGTGCCAGGGACTTCATTCTCAACACGCTGCCTAACATCCACGGCAGTCCTTCCTCTCCGCGCCTCCAATCTCTTCCAAGCCAGCATCATCTCTAGGAAGCAGCAATAGGTTCCTGGGTAGTTTCCTCACCTCCGCTCTTCCTTTGCCTAGAGCCTATTTCCTCACCTTCACCAGCAATGAGGCCACGCCCCTGCCTAGGACCTTTCCCTTCTCCAAACTGCCC